TCCCAACTCTCTCTGCCTTCTCATCTCACCTCCGGACAGAAGCTGCCTGTTTAGTCTCTTGTATCTACTTGAGCTAAGAGGCACACTCCTCACGAGCTATCACTTTATGTCCCACAGTCCAGTCCAATCTCTGTCTGAAGAGTTGGCCTCGGAAATTGTTTTACTTCTGGGCTGATAGAGAATTCATGGGCCGTGCTTTTTGGGGTTCCTCCAGTCTCAGTCAGACCATTAAGTCTGGTCTTCTTACTAGAATTTGAGTTCTGCACCCCACCTTTCTCCTGCTCCATCTGGGACTCTCTGTCAGGGCAGTCATTACAAGTAGCCAGGTACCATCTAGTTCTTCTGTTCTGAGGCTGATGAAGTCTCTGGTTTATGTAGCCCTTTCTGTCTCTTGGGCTAATAGTTTCCTTCTGTCTTTGGTGTTCTTCATTCTCCTTTACTCCAGGTGGTTGGGACCAATTGATGCATCTTAGATAGCCGCTTGCAAGCTTTTAAGACCCATGACGCCACTCACCAAAGTATGATGCAGAACATTTTCTTAATAAGCTTTGTTATGCCAGTTGACCTAGATGTCCCTTGAAAGCTTGGTCCCCTACCCCTTCTACTCTGTCTCTCAACGTGTTTGATTGTATTCAGGAACCTTCTTAGCTTTGGTTGAGTCCAGTTGTGCTGACTTCCCCCGTAGTGTGTGCTATCCTTCCCTTCACCTAAGATAATTCTTTTCTACTATCTGGTTAGTGAATGACCCTCTCCCTCCCTCTCCACCCTCGTAACCATCAAAGAATGTTTTCTTCTGTGTTTAAACCTTTTCTTGAGTTCTAACAATAGTGGTCTTCATACAATATTTGACCTTCTGTGACTGAGTAAATTCACTCAGCATAATGAGTTCCAGCTTCCTCCATGTTATAAGATGTTTCATGGCTTCATCATTGTTCTTTACCGTTGCATAGTATTCCACTGTGTGGATATACCATAATTTCTTTATCCATTCGTCCGTTGATGGGCATCTAAGTTGTTTCCATCTTTTTGCTATCGTGAACAGTGCTGCAATGAACATGGGTGTGCATATATCTATTCGTGTGATGGCTCCTGTTTCTCTAGGATATATTCTAAGGAGCAGGATTGGTGGATGATATGGTATTCTATTTCTAGTTTTTTAAGGAAGTGCCAAATTGATTTCCAAAGTGGTTTTACCATTTTATGTTCCCACCAACAGTGTATAAGTGTTCCAGTCTCTCCACAGCCTCTCCAACATTTATTATTTTGTGATGATTGTATTAATGCTAGCCTTGTTGGGGTGAGATGGTATTTCATTGTAGTTTTGATTTGTATTTCTCTAATGGCTAATGATCGTGAGCATTTCTTCATTTGTCTGTTAGCTGCTTGAATATCTTCTTTGGTGAAGTGCCTGTTCATATCCTTTGCCCATTTTTTAAATGGGTTATTTGTCTTTTTGTTGTTGAGATTTTGCAGTAGATTTTAGAGATTAGATGCTGATCAGATTTGTCATAGCCAAAAATTTTTTCCCAGTCTGTAGGTTGTCTTTTGACTGTTTTGGTGAAGTCTTTTGCTGAGCTTAAGTGTTTGATTTTTAGGAGCTCCCAGTTATCTAGTTTCTCTTCCGGCATTTGTGCATTGTTACTTATGGTTTGTTTTCTGTTTATGCCATGTGTTAGGGCTCCTAGCGTTGTCCCTATTTTTTCTTCCATGATCTTTATTGTTTTAGATTTTATATTTAGGTCTTTGATTCATTTTGAGTTAGTTTTTGTGCATGGTGTGAGGTACGGTCTTGTTTCAGTTTTTTGCGGATGGATATCCAGTTATGCCAGCACCGTTTGTTAAAGAGACTGTCTTTTCCCCAGTTAACGGACTTTGGGCCTTT